AAAAAAAAAAAAAAAAAAAAAAAAAAAAAAAAAAAAAAAAAAAAAAAAAAAAAAAAAAAAAAAAAAAAAAGAATGTAGTCGATTTGATAATGATTGAGTGACATTATTTCCTCGGCCAGCTCGAACCAAAGAATAACTTTAGTTAAATCATTTATACTAAGATTAACGATATACATTTAGGCCTAGACAGAATGATATTTTCTATCTTCACCGTTTCATCGGCCTCCAAGAACTTGGCCATTAAAAACATTGAACGTTCTACAATGGCTGCGGGCGTGCTTGAACAATATAAATGTCATCCCCGACGACGCAGCCTTCGACATCCTGTGGGCAGGCAAACTTGCATTCCAAGAAATACCCAACAGAGCAAAGACGTCGACCTAGCTGCTCACGAAATTTCGGGTCGATAGACAATGGCTTTTTACTGTAATCTACAGTAAAACGTGCCATTTGACCATCAGCAGGACAAGCAGCAAGAACTCTTAGTTCTTCACTGAAGTTTGCAAAGGCCAGTGTTTGTACTAAACCATCAAACTTCCCGAACGAAAGTCGCCACGGCGTGCCACGGGTGCTAGAAGCCAGAGTTTCGCCAAGTCCACAGGCAATTTCAGCCTCAACATACTTGCCATTTTGGTTGGTTGGGCTGTATGTGTGCAGAACAAATGACAATTCAGGAGAAAGCATTTCTTGTACCAGTACTGCCATTAAAGCATCCTTCTGAGGTACTCCAGCAGCTCGTCTGCTTAGAACTGCTCTTCGAGTGTACAACGACGCCCATACTTTGCTAACAGCGTTTCTAAAAACAGTTGGATCTCTCAAACTTACATTTGGAATTGACTCGTAAAGTCCAGCAGCTGACATGCCAGCCAAATCCTCGAGATTTGCACTCGAACGGACGATTAAGCGTGCATCTTCAGGAAATATTGTCCCTAAACTATCAATTATGTCTTGTGTCAATTGCAGAGAAGACACCAAGTCATGGAGTTGTTTGCAAAGTTCATCTAGTTCCACTCCTACTTTTGCTGTTTCGATTTGTTCCAGAATAGATATGAACTTTTCCATGGAATTAGTTTGAGTGAGTGCTAATTCCATAGAACCAAATGGAATCACTGCACCTGCAGGAACTCGAAATGCAGCTGGAATCTGTAGACTTGTAAAACCTGCCAACCAACGTCTGGTTATGTGTAATATAATAAAGAGCTGGAATTGAAATAATAATAATAATTAACAGAATGTTTTATATTTTAGTTTGGAATGAAATTTAGCCCAGCTCGTCGAAAATGACAATTAACGGAATAGAAATCCATTCGCTTCATCTTTGGTGGAGCAAATAAGGAAAACCTTTGATGTCTCGAGAGTCTAAGCTCTAAGACTATGGGTGTAATAGCCCAAGCCCACCGCTAGCAGATATTGTCTTCTTTGGGTTTTCCCTTCTGGGCTTCCTCTCAAGGTTTTAAAACGCGTCTGCTAGAGAGAGGTTTCCACGTCCTTATAAAGAATGCTTCGTTCCCTCTACAATTGATGTGGGATCTCACACTCCACCCCATTAGGGGGCCAACGTCCTCGTTAGCACACTGCCCGATGTCTGGCTCTAATACCATTGTAACAGCCTAAGCCCACAGCCAGCAGATATTGTCCTCTTTGGACTTTTCCTTTCAAGCTTCCCCTCAAGGTTTTAAAACGGGTCTACTAGGGAGAGGTTTCCACACCTTTATAAGAAATGTTTTGTTCTCCTCTCCAATCAACGTAGGATCTTACAATCCATTCCCCTTGGGGGCCCAATGTCCTCGCTGGCACACCGCCTAGTGCCTAGCTCTAATACCATTTGTAATAGCTCAAGCCTACTGTTAGCAGATATTGTCCTCTTTGGGCTTTCCTTTGCAGGCTTCCCCTCTAAGTTTTAAAACACGTCTACTAGGGAAAGGTTTCCACACTTTCAAAAGGAAGGTTTCGTTCCCCTTTCCAACTGATGTGGGATCTCACAATGGGACAAGCGCGAATTTTTCTAAGAAGTTCATATACTTTCATGATGTAATTAACAGAAATTTTCCTTATGCATGGCTGCCTATGTTAGGACTTCATACCGGTTCATTTCAGGTGGAATATTACAACTCAAACCTAGTTTCTTCACAGACAAACTTAAGGGAAAAAGATTGATCCAAAATTTACCTTTATCAGAGATGGCAGCCAAAGAAGCCAAACGACCACAAACTGCAGCTTTTGCTCCTGCAATTCGAGCATCTGCATCAGCAAGCGGTACCACTCCAGAAGAAATTCCCTAGACAAAAGTTCAACCATCACTAATATAGAGAAAAATCGATATATACTGAGAGATGAAAAAAAAAGGAAGACATGTCCAATGTCCAAACGTCATTGAGGAACGATTTGACTACATTATACGACACCTGTGTCGGGTATGGAGCTCCAGAGGCAGGTAATAAGGGGTCTTGCATACTGGACTTTTCAAAACTAAACACGTACTCATCTGGAGCAGTTCTGGCAGGAAAATTATCAGTGCTTGTATCTGATGGAGGATATATATGAACAGAAGTTGCCGATGCTTCCATCCTACACATCTCAACAAAAAACGTAACACTTCGTTAAGCATCACCCTACAATCACCATGAATAAGAACATGAACCAAAAACCATACAACCTCACAAAATTCCCCAGAAGTTTCTGCAGAACAGAAGTTCTTTCGTCGTCCTCACATGTAACAAATACAACTTTTTCCTACAAAGTCGACACGCATTATCGTTGATACTGTACAACGGCGTTTGAAAAAGACACTATTTTAGAGAGGCTGCACTTACTTGTCGAGCCCTTACACCAAGATGAGATAAATGAGGTAGTTCCTGTAGTAGCACAACTCCTGTTATGTTGCTCCCAGCAGCTGTTATCTGCAAATCATCAACTTTAACAACATTTTATTTTATTTTCCTTCATGGAGTAGCATTCTAATACCATCAATATCATAAGAAAGAGGTGCAAAACGATATCGACGCCATAAATAGGGTAAGTGAAAGGGATATTTAGCTTTGAACCTCTTCATCGCCATCGGCTTTGTTAACCATAAGAATAACAGGCCCTTCTATGGATGTTGGAAGAGACCCTGGGACAATCCTCTCAACCTGAAGAAATACTCACAATTACATAATATTTGGGTTGCAGGCAAAGTTATGTGCAATTTCCAGCATAGACGTGTTTTAACGTGTTAAAATGATAGATAGATTGCAATGTTTGTGACGAGCCTCGCTCAACTTCTTTACGAACTTCATTTCACTTCAAATACTTAATTCTCGTGAAACAAATAAACACGAGCACCTGAACAAATGTTCCTTCAACAGATCCTGGCACAAGAACATCCCAACCCTGCGATCCAAGTGCGGTTCTGATTGCTTTCAAAAGAATCGTGCATAGCTTTGATACCTGAAAAATTACGCTAGAGTTTCCCGACAGACTTCAGCATCAACTCATGGTCGACAAACGGTAATAAAGAGGAATAGAATAAAATTACCCAAACCGTTATACCTAGCACGAATTTCAGCTTCAGTATATGTTCTCACACTGTTTTCAGGGATCCCAAACGCTTTTCCAAGCATCTGAAATGAACGCCAATTACAGATTCTACGTTACGTCATGCACAAGACAAGAAGAACCATATAATCCTCTACAGCAGTCTAAGACCAAGGTTGTATTTAGACGGATGATATTTCCACAGAAACTATAGCTATTTATAAATTTACTTTTGCCCGCAAAACCACACAGAAATAGATTGGTTGAGTTCATGGTTCAGCACATTACCATCTCATTAAGTAGTTATTGTCGTGTTTATGATAAACTGATGTATTCATACCTTAACTTTCTCAGGGAATATTTGAAGAAGCGCTTCAGAATATTCCTCAGTCAGCCTCCTTGTTCTATCAAGAGTAGCCTTAAGCCTCAATCCCCAAATAGTTTGGCCATCTTCACTTCCTTGATAAGAAAAATAACAAATTCATGTGGTGGTTAGCTAAGCATATAAATCAAGTCAGTCATAGAAATGCAATTGATTTAGAGCTACTAAGCATGAACACCTTAATATGGGTAAAGAGTCCTACATAATATAAATAGGACACCCATATTTGTTAGACGTGTGTTAGAACTTGGTTAAGCACAACAAATACATATCCAACATTTGAACAAATAAAATTTGTGCCAGACACTAGTTGGATATGCATTGTTGTGATATCCCCCAACCAACAAAACACCTTTTATAAGGATGTGGAAACCTCTCCCTAGTAGATGCGTTTTAAAAACCTTGAGGGTAAGCCCAAAAGGGAAAGCTAAAAAAGGACAATATCTGCTAGCGGTGGACTTGGGCCGTTACAATTGCACATTTGCTAAGCACAGTAAAGACGTCAGACACGTGTAGATATATGATCAACCCTTGTTGGAACACTTAAACTAAAGTGTTCAAAACTTCTTTTTGTACTTATTTGTCGAATATATATATATATATATATATATATATATATATATATATTTATTTATTTATTTATTTATTTTATAAAAGACAATTTCATTGATGATTGAAATTTACAAAGGGGTGTTTACAAAAGACCTTCCTAATTTGCAAAGAGGGAGGCATAACTATACCGAAGTATTTCTTTTTCCCAATAACAAATAAATAAATAAACAATAAGTCTATTTCTGATCTTGTTAATTTTATGCAGAAAGAAGAAACCCATTCTTTTTTTATGTTATGCTAAAGACAACAATTACCTTCCCTTTCAGCGAGACCTCTCTCCTTCCAAGCACGAATCTCATTTACGATAGTCACACACTCTTTTGGCTTCCAACCAGATAAGCCCAGCTGATGAGTACCAAAAATAAGGGCATCCAGTGGATCATTCCAAGAGCTTACATTCTTTGACTTCACATTTTCTACCAGCATATCACCACCCCTTGTTGCCTCCATCACATTTATAAATCTAATAACATCAGTGATAATTAAAGACCATCGGAATAACTCAACTTTAAGCTTTAAGTAAATCAATTTTCAGTTTGTAGCTTCCTGGAGCTAACATCAAAATGTTTCCCTAAAATGCTTTCACAACTTTCAAGAAATTAGGATGGCCTAAACAGGGAAAAAGATCCAAAAGATACCTATGCTTAAAAACAACAAAAAGTTTTCACTTGTAAGACTCTACTGCCTCTTCCAACTACAGTCAACCTTATCTCCGAGTCCGGTCGAGTGAGTAAAAGTTATGTAGTATAAACAGGCTCGCCACTTCACATATTTCCTAGGGAACTCTATAACATAAATGCTTTACAAGCAATTCGATTCGCTATGTACTGTAGGCCTCTACAAAAGACAAGAAAAAAGGCTGTAGGAAGCCTGAAAAATATGTACCTGCTAAGAAGAACAAACAAATAGTCCTCAAGCCCGATCTCACAAAGACGCCACTGCACGTGCACAAAAGGGTGGAAAATAAGAGATGTTTGAATCCTAACTTGATTGATTTTATAAATAAATACTTTCAATTGGCTTACTTTTTGTCGCATGGCTATTGCTGTATCAGAAGCATCATTTCTCAAGCCACTTTCAAGACCTCTTATGAGTATTTCTCTCAAAGCATTCAATGATTGAATGGTTTTCAAAACCAGGTCAGTGCCTTGATTTTGGAAAGAACTTCCCAACTCATCTGCAGCATCCAAGTTCTGGAAATAAAATACCATACGACCAAGGCCTATTAAGCAATCTGAACCTTTTCATCAATATCCTTGAATTACAAGAAACAATGTCAATAGAAAAGTATGGAAAAAATACAATTTTTCTATGAGTTTCAAACCCAACGTTTTGATCCCTAAGCTTAGGGAAACTGGTTTTTTTGGTCCCTGCCATCAACTTCCCATTACTAATAGAAAGTTGATTGAATATTCTTTTATTATATTTTCTTAAGTTGACATGACTTTTCTTTATTAAATAATATCTTTTAATTTTTTAAACTCAAATAAAAATAAATATTTTGATACCATTTTTTAAAATTTCCTTCTTTCTCTTCTCTCTCTCCCCTACCCATCCTTCTCTTTCCTTTCTCATCCTCTCCACTTCAACCAACCTTGTCGATGTCGCTCATCATCGCCAACTCCCTTTGATCCAAAACAAGGGATCTCTCCCTCATTTCAGATCAAAGAGTGGTGACAATGATTGGTGACAGCGACGACGAGGTTGGTGGCCTTCCCTTTGATCCAAAACGAGGGATCTCTCCCTCATTTCAGATCAAAGAGTGGTGACAATGATTGGTGACAGCGACGACGAGGTTGGTGGCCTTCCCTTCGATCCAAAACGAGGGATCTCTCCCTCATTTCAGACCAAAGAGTGGTGGCAACGACTGGTGACAGCAACAACGAGGTTGGTGGCTGTGGGGGAGGATGAGAAAGGAAATAGAAACGAAGAGAGAGAAAATACAAAGAAGAAAAGATTTAATTTACAAATGTCACGTTGGCTTAAGAATTTTTTTAAAAAAATCTAATCACCTTTCCATTAGCTACAATAATGTAAAACTAAAAGCAAGGACCACTACCATTTTTCTAAGCCTCGTAGATTAAAATGTCGAGTATGAAAACTCGGGGACTCAAATGCAACCAAACTCGAACCACAAGAACCAAAATGAATTCTTCCTAGAAGTATTTATTTATTAAGTTTTATTGTGAAATTGCCAATTGCAGAATTGAAAGCTCATATGCATATGAGAAGATAATGTTCCAACTGATAGTATCTTAAACAAGAGTTAATAATTGCATTTTAGTTAATCACTTATTTCATTAAATTAATATCAACAAATTTAACATGAATTAAATGTGGCTTTCCTATTAAAAAACAAATTTAACAAGACAAAATATCACCTTTTTGCACTCCAAGAAGTAGGCAAGAGCCGACAAGCCATGTCCATCAACAGACTCCTTGATTGATTCAAGTTGTTCTGCAAGGCTGAAAATAGCACAAAATTCTCACTTGCAGAAAGAGTATAGGTATTGGATTTGCGCTATAAATTGACTCAGCATAGACATGTTACAGGATTTTAACGAACTTGTTTAAAGAAGTGAAAAGACATCTTAGCCCCAGGATGAAAAAACTTTTGTGATATCCCACATTGGTTGGGGAGGAGAACGAAATACCCTTTATAAGGGTGTGGAAACCTTTCCCTAGCAGACACGTTTTAAAACCTTGAGGGGAAGCCCAAAAAGGAAAGCCCAAAGAGGATAATATCTGCTAGCGGTGTGCTTGGGCCGTTACAAATGATATCAGAGCCAAGTACCGGGCAATGTGCCAGTGAGGAGACTGTTCCCCGAAGAGGGGTAGACATGAGGCGGTGTGCCAGTAAGGACGCTGGGCGCCGAAGGGAGTGGATTTGGTGGGGATCCCACATCGATTGGAGAAAGGAACGAGTGCCAGCGAGGACGCTGGGCCCTGAAGGGGGGTGGATTATGATATCCCACATTAGTTGGGGAGGAGAATGAAAGACCCTTCATAAGGGTGTGGAAACCTTTCTCTAGCAGACGCGTTTTAAAGCCTTGAGGGGAAGCCCGAAAGGGAAAGTCCAAAGAGGACAATATCTGCTAGCAGTGTGCTTGGGCCGTCACAAAACTATTCTCAAGGATTGTAATAATTTCATATGAGTCATCAAGTTTTAATTTGACAAATTGAGCATTGAAGATGTAGCCTATCAGTCAACAAATGGTGTACATGCATTTAATATCAATACAAGATCACAGTAATGCATAAGAGAGAGAGAGAAGGGGGGTGAATACCCATTCCCATTCTAAAAATAATGTGAATTCTTATAAAGGCACAACATTCTTATTACTACTTAGGCTGTAAATGTGAAAGTCCGCCTTGATGATAAAAGATATGATCTCAAAGATTTGGCACAGATCACTCTTGAGCTTTTCTGTAATAAAAATCGTCTGATTTCTGTACATGTGTTACTGGACATAACTTCCTAATACATTGTTGTCCTCCATTACATCCATGAGATAAGGAGAAGATATGGAAGATATGCAAACCACAATCAGTGGGAAAGCTCTTCAAAAATAATTTATGTAACAACCCAAGCCCACCGCTAGCAGATATTGTCCTCTTTAGACTTTCCCTTTTGGGCTTCCCCTCAAGGTTTTTAAAACGCATTTGATAGAGAGAGGTTTCCACACCCTTATAAAGAATGCATTGTTATCCTCCCCAACCAATTTGGGATCTCATAATCCACCCCCTTGCGGAGCCCATCATCATCTCTGACACTCGTTCCCTTCTCCAATCGATGTGGGACCACCCCCCAATCCAAACCCCCTTGCTGACACATCGCCCGATGTCTGGCTCTAATACCATTTGTAACGGCCCAAGCCCACCGCTAGCAGATATTGTCCTCTTTGGGCTTTCCCTTTTGGACTTCCCATCAAGGTTTTTAAAACGCGTCTACTAGGGAGAGGTTTCCACACCCTTATAAAAAATGCTTCGTTCTCCTCCCCAACCGACGTGGGATCTCACAATTTAGTTGTTAAAGCTTGAGTTATACTCAAAGAGGGAGATCTCCAAGTTCCTTGAATTTCTTAAGATATTTTACTATATTTTCTTCCAAGTATTTAATACTATTTTCATTTCAATTTTCCAACTCCTATCAAATTGGTGTCGTTGCATCGATTTTAGCCATAGATGACAGAAATCTAAGCACCTTGAATGCATGTAGTGAAAAGAAAGATGCCAACTAGTACATTTCATATATATATTACAGTACATGCAGCACATCAAACATAAATATCTAAGAAAAACGCGATGAAGAAAGGCAAGTAATGGGATTCCTTATCTGACCTCCCAGCATTGAAGAAATCTTTCAATTCTTGGTAGAATATTTTGAACTGCTCTATAAAGACCTGACTATATTCTCCGGGGTTCTTGGTTATCCTTGTAAGCATTGCTTCTGTGGCAATTAAGTCCTCCGGACCAGCATTGCGATGAAGCTTGTTTTGTATTGTATGTTTGATTTCTTGCTGAAAAATGAAACTTCAATAAAAAAAACCATATAAATTGTACTCTCCAATGATCCAATAGGAATCATTAGTGAAAGAAAAATCTTACTCTGACATTGAGAGGTCTTCAAAGCATTACCTTGAGATCATGAGGGATATCGTTCCGATGAGCAATATCTCGTATACGTGTTAAAGGAACAGATGAAGTAAATTCTGATTTAAAAGATGGCAAACATGGATGAATTTTTCGGACGATAAGAGATGCCTGAATGTGAAAAGAAAAGAAAACAAGTTTTAGCTGAAAAAAGAGATCAAAACAAAGAAGCTAGTAGTAGAAGTAGACTACCTGGGGAGAAATATCTTTCTTGGACAACGATCGTTCTAGTTCGCGAAATATAATCCTAGAAGTTTCAGCATGCCTATCTGGCCAGTGATGACCCCCATCTTCAAGACAAGGGATTTGACCTGTATTTATCCACTAAACAAGAACGATCTTGAGAATATAGGAGTACAGAATAAGAAAAATGATTACTAAAACAAGATATTGAAGAGAACCTTAAGGTAGATAGCAGAATATATCAATGACTCCAGGCACTCCTCAGCGTGCACATTTTCGACTAATAATTCACGCACAACTTCAAGCTGCACAAGTAAAAGTTGGAGAATATATCAGGAGGATAGGTTTTGATAATTTTGTCAAAATGAAGTACATAGTGAATTCTGATCCATGCTAAAATTTGAAAGCCAAAAGGACATCAAATGACTTTCTTTTCTCTTCATTAGGGTTGGACTACTAACTAAAAGTTCGTTAATAAGATCCTTTGTTTTATTCTCGTAAAAAAAAGTGGTCTTTTTTTCGTTGGGTATACTGAATTAGCTAGTCTGTCAGCGGCTTAAACGAACCTTTTCTCTTCTTTTTTCTTTTGAAAGAGACACTTATCTATAAATCGATTGAAATTACTAGAAGCCATCCTAATTAGTGTTAATCACAAAGGGAAGTATAGCTATCAAATGCATTAAATAGTCTTGTCTCATTTTCAATCACATAACAAGGCTCACTCTTCTTAAGAACAGATATGTACCTTAGCCACTCAAAGGTGGGTGACCTTTAGACTCGGCGAGCTCCCTACTAGTTAAACCTAATAATCTAGTCACCACTCGAACAACACTTCCCAAAAGTTAAACTAATGACTTACAAGATCAAATGACTTATAAAAGCATTAAAAATGTACCCAAGGCTGACAAGTTGTTCATAAGGATGTTGTACTTGGCTTTGCTCCTACATAGGACCAGCAATTAATGTGTTTACAGAGCCTAAAGGATAAGCACTCTAACAAGTAAGAATCTCATTCTTTGTAATTGATTAAACACACGTAAACAGACACATATCCAACACTACATTAGAAGCCAGGTTGGTTTCAAAGAAATAAAACAAGATAGACTAAAGAAAGGCATAAAGATCATCAGACATACACATCTATCAGCCGAACTCGAAATAAAGAAGAAAAAGAGACGGGTCTGTTAAAATACCTTTCTCCTCCAATTCCTGGCATTTTTATCTCCTTCTACCAACTGTAGAGCTAACCCCTCAAGACCAGAAGTGTCCCAAATCCCCTCAGATTCCCGGTTGGGGTGTACCAGATTCCCTTTCCACTGCCCAACAAAAGGACTGGCCTCATCTTCTACCAAAGGGCCATTGCCAGCTTCAACATCCCTGTCCTTTTCATCTCCTTCGTTGATCCCCCTCACATCAAAAGGGAACATTTCATCTCCTTTGTTGACCCCTTCTGCATCCAGTGGCAACGTTTCATTTCCTTCTTCGATCCCCTTTGAATCAAAAGACAAAGTTTCTTCTCCTTCATTTATCTCCTTTGCATCCAAAGGCAAGGTTGTATCTCCTTCAGCGATCTCCAGTGCACCCGAGGGAAAGATTGTATCTCCTTCAGCGATCTCCTTTGCATCCGAAGGCGACGTTTCATTTCCTTCAGTGAAATCCTTTGCATCCAAAGGAGACGTTCCATCCCCATTAATCTCTTCTGCTTTCAGGGGCAACATTTCATCTCCTTCACTAACCTTCTCTACATCCCAAGGCAACATTTTATCTCCTTCACTAACCTCCTCTACATCCAAAGGCAACCTTTTATCTCCTTCGCTAACCTCCTCAACACCCAAAGGCAGCATTTTATCTCCTCCACTAACCTCCTCGACACCCAAAGCCAACATTTGATCTCCTTCACTAACCTCCTCGACACCCAAAGCCAACATTTTATCTCCTTCACTAACCTCCTCGACACCCAAAGCCAACATTTTATCTCCTTCACTAACCTCCTCGACACCCGAAGCCAACATTTTATCTCCTTCGCTAACCTCCTCTACATCCAAAGCCAACATTTGATCTCCTTCACTAACCTCCTGTACATCCAAAGCCAACATTTGATCTCCTTCACTAACCTCCCGTACATCCAAAGCCAACATTTGATCTCCTTCACTAACCTCCTGTACATCCAAAGCCAACATTTTATCTCCTTCACTAACCTCCTCTACATCCAAAGCCAACATTTTATCTCCTTCACTAACCTCCTCTACATCCAAAGGCAACCTTTTATCTCCTTCGCTAACCTCCTCAACACCCAAAGGCAGCATTTTATCTCCTCCACTAACCTCCTCGACACCCAAAGCCAACATTTTATCTCCTTCACTAACCTCCTCGACACCCAAAGCCAACATTTTATCTCCTTCACTAACCTCCTCGACACCCAAAGCCAACATTTTATCTCCTTCACTAACCTCCTCGACACCCAAAGCCAACATTTTATCTCCTTCACTAACCTCCTCTACATCCAAAGCCAACATTTTATCTCCTTCACTAACCTCCTCTACATCCAAAGCCAACATTTTATCTCCTTCACTAACCTCCTCTACATCCAAAGCCAACATTTGATCTCCTTCACTAACCTCCTGTACATCCAAAGCCAACATTTGATCTCCTTCACTAACCTCCCGTACATCCAAATGATCTCCTTCACTAACCTCCTCTACATCCAAAGCCAACATTTTATCTCCTTCGCTAACCTCCTGTACATCCAAAGCCAACATTTTATCTCCTTCACTAACCTCCTCTACATCCAAAGCCAACATTTTATCTCCTTCACTAACCTCCTCTACATCCAAAGCCAACATTTTATCTCCTTCACTAACCTCCTCTACATCCAAAGCCAACCTTTTATCTCCTTCACTAACCTCCTCGACACCCAAAGCCAACATTTTATCTCCTCCACTAACCTCCTCGACACCCAAAGCCAACATTTTATCTCCTCCACTAACCTCCTCGACACCCAAAGCCAACATTTTATCTCCTTCACTAACCTCTTCTACATCCAAAGGCAACATCTTATCTCCTTCACTAACCTCCTCTACATTCAAAGTCAACATCTTATCTCCTCCACTATCCTCCTGTACATCCAAAGGCAACATTTCATCTTCTTCACTAATCTCCTCTACATCCAAGGCCAACATTTTATCTCCTTCACTAACCTCCTCTACGTCCAAAGGCAATATTTCATCTTCTTCACTAACCTCTTCAACATCCAAAGGCAACATTTCAACAGCCTCACCAGTTTGACTCCATTGATAAACTGAGCTAAATTTCCCTATCTTAGGCAGATGGAGAACCCGGTTATCTCCAGATTCCCACAACACACTCCCATCCTTTCCCACAATGACGAACTTGAACTCGACTCGCTCATCCCCTTTAAGCTCTAAATCGCAAACCCACCCATCCTCACTCCAATTCAGAAGAACACAATTCTTCCAAGAGCCCAAGTCTTCAGATGACCCTAGAATTGCTACAGACTCCCCAAATTCAACTTGGTGAGCCAACCTCACCTTCAGAAGAACCTTCCCGCCACTTCCCAGTTCCCCAGTCATCCTTTGCTCTACATCTTCCCTGTTAAAAACCAACACCATTTCGTGATCATCGCAGTAATCAGGTGAAGCAATAAAAGAACACTTCAAAAGATAGCCCACTTAACCTGATAGTTCCTTGAGAAGCAGAGGAAGCCCCACTGACGACCTGTCTATTATGATTACAAAAAGAAGAAAGACACCCAGGTTCGGAAAAAATAGTCAAATGAAAAGGGTTTTTACGGCACTGCAGCTGGTGATGGTGGTGGCAATTCAAAGTACGTGGGAATGGGAACCTATTACACAAATGAATATGCGAAGAAGTTATAGAACAATGCGGAGCGCGAATAGAACCCATTATTCCTCCAAGGAGCGAAGTGCCACTGATATCACTGCAGGCATTCCAAACCCAACATAGTTAATTGCTTCAAGCGAGAAAGAACAGAAACAGAGATAGAGAAAGTGAGTTAACTCGAGATTGTACTTCCGAGTTCGCAATGGATGGAAGATATTTTCTAATTATGAGGCAATCAATCAATCAATCTCCAGACTGAATGTGGCAATGAATCGCACCTTAGCCACTGAATTTAACAACAATTACGAAACTGATGATAATTATACAAAAATTTTCATATAAAAGACAAGCAATAAGCATACAGAAGACAGAGCTAGAAGCCAAAGGCGAAAAGACGCTTCCCAAAATCCCAATCCGTCCACTCTGTCTGAGGCGACGCATGTGCTTAGACGTTGTTTTTCCTTCTGGAGCGGATGATGAGAGAGCTATGAACCGCAAAATCAATCCGCAGCCTTCCAGAAATTTTTGACACGATTTACTGATTTAGAAAAGGGGAAAAAAAACGACTTTTTGGATTTTTTTTTTTTTTTTTTTTTTTTTTTAATCTTTTGCCACCAAATAAAGTTTTTCAGTAGACAACACTACTTCACACCCAAAAACAATCGAGCTACATTTGAATTAAACTTAGAGATGGAATTCTTCTTTCGTTTCTCGACATTGAAGTAAGACTAAGTCTATGAACTTACTATCCTACGTCGGAACAAGTTGATAGGATCCCTTTTTTACATCTCCGGGTCCCTCCCGTGTGGCGGCATGGAGGCGAAAAAAATGAAAGAGATGGATGAAATTTCTCTCTCTTTTGGTATAGCGAGCCCAGCAGAAGCCCTGCACGATGAGCTGTTTAAGAACTAATTGAGCGGGAGGAAAGGGGGAGATCTGAGACCTAAAACTTCTCGAACATTGTAAGTATCCATTTCAGATTCCTTATGTAAACATACTTGTAGGGTCGACTTGAATAAGCACGAATAAGCTAGTAAAATAAGTTGACATTTGACTGTTCTATTGTGTTTTATTGGGACTTTGTTAAGATAATTGACTTGCTTAGTACACGAGTAAACGAGTTAGGATCGTTCTTCGACCTTCTAAGTTTAATTGGGCAAATAGAGCCACAATTTCCCGAGTTTTGTAGTAAGTTATGATAGGTTCTTGGATGAGTGTGGGACGGTGAGATTTAGTTTCCCTAATTGATGATAATAAATAATATACGTACGAGTACAACAAGTCGAGTAAGAAAATAAGTAAATATACCTATTACTCACGAAAAGAGTTCACTTTCGTCTTCTTCTACGATAAATAAAGAATGGTGCCGATATTGAAGCAGCTTACTGATGGTCGTTCGCTTGCTTCTCTAAAGTTAATAAACCGTTACGAAATTAAAAGGATTCCTCTGTTGAACGAGCATCCTAATTGTCTTTGCATTTTTAACATTTAAAAAAGAAAAAAAAAAAAAAAAACAAAATTTTTTACGGTTCTTAAAATATTTTAGTCATTTATTTCCAAATAAAATATAATCTTTTTGGAATCTAACATTTAAAATATTTTATTTTTTAATGGTATATCTCATTTGAATCTCTCGTATGGTTAGAACAAAATTAAAAATAATAATAAATAAATAATACTCGTGTTAATCATCATATACAGCTAGAATATTGAAATAATTAACGGTGTTTTCAACCATTATGGCCTCAGATGATATTGAATTGAACAATAAATAAATTAATAATGAGAATCGAAAAGCATAACACTAACAGATATTTTAAGATATGATAAAATCGAAACGAAACAAATTAGAAACTTCTCAGATATTACGATTGATGCTAAATCTATAATGATTCGATTTTAAGGAAGTTTGTCGAGCAATCGAATTAAAAAAGGAAAGAAGAAATAATTGTACGGATATGTTTAGAATGTTCATTTTAGGACCTAAATACTTTGCCTTGTATGGCTTTATTCACTTCCTCCCTTTGAACAACAAATAAAATAAAAATAACCCTTTTCATTCCTTCTTGTTGCAGTCTTTTCTAGCAGATTCTCTTCTTCCTTACTATAAAAGAGATCCTTCTTCGACGTTCGTTCATCATAGGATCGCTATAGTTATCGTTGCTTGACGTATATCTTCCTATACCGTATTACTGAACTCGTTCGAAGGAGGTGTCCCTCTCTCGAAGTTGTGATTTTGTTTAAGAGTTGTCTTGTGCTCGTAAGTGCGTATGTTACGATTCCATTGAGAACAGATGAACAATGAAGATCATAGTTCCAAAATGCACCAATCCAATCTCTTCTGTTGCACTAATCTCCTTCATCTTGTGCTCTTTATTTGTCTTCTTTGATTACTCTGCCTTGTATGAATCAAGAACAAAGGAAGTCACCTTCTTAACCAATGACTTCCCTAATTCCTCATCCATTTCTTCATCACCCAACCCCTGCATTGATCAAAAACCAACAGAAGAAGCCATTAAAGCTCTGATTCCGAGCTCCTCAATTGACCAAAAACCAATAGAAACTCATAACAGCTCCTCTTCCATTACTAATCCAGCCAGAAGATCAAGAAAAAGAGCTGTTCATGGCAGAGGAAGAACCAGAAAAGCCAAAGCAGAGGACTCATCATGCCAGGGGAAATTCATTTACATTCATAATCTTCCCAAGAAATTCAATGAAGATTTGGTACAGAACTGCAAATTACCTCATATGAAATGGTCTGAAGTTTGCAAATTTGTGTGGCATAACGTGGGATTAGGCCCAGAAGTTCAGAACAATTCCCTGCAAGATTTGACTAACAAAGGCTGGTTTTACACCAGCCAATTCTCCTTGGAAGTCATATTTCATCACAGAATGAAGCAATATAAGTGCTTAACAAAGGATTCCTCTAAAGCAGCAGCAATTTTTGTGCCATTCTATGCAGGCCTTGATGTTGGACCTTACCTATGGGGATTCAATATCTCTGTAAGGGACAAAGGGCCAATTGAATTGGCTAAATGGCTATCACAAAGATCAGAGTGGAAAGCCATGTGGGGCAGAGACCATTTCTTGATTGGTGGAAGAATCGCTTGGGATTACAGAAGACACGACGAAAATGACTCAGATTGGGGCTCAAAACTCATGTTTTTACCAGAACTCAACAACACGACAATGCTGACAATAGAAACAGCGTATTGGAACAATGATATAGCAATCCCATATCCCACTGATTTCCACCCTTCAAGGGACTCCCAAATCATAGACTGGCAGAGGAAGGTTACAACACAGAAAAGGCCATTCCTTTTCTCCTTTGTCGGAGGAACAAGGCCAAAACAAGAAACCTCCATTAGAGGGGAGCTCATAAACCAGTGCAAAGCTTCAAAGAACTGCTTCTTTTTAGCCTGTATCTCTGGAGAGAATAAATGTAGTGACCCTGCTACAGTAATGAACACGTTTATGAGCTCTGTTTTCTGCTTGCAGCCACCAGGGGATTCATTTACAAGAAGATCAATGTTTGATGCCATTTTAGCAGGGTGTATACCTGTTTTATTTCACCCAGGAACTGCTTATGGACAGTACAATTGGTACTTTCCAAAGGATCACCAGAGATACTCTGTTTTCATTCCTTCAAACAAGATCAAAGCAAAAGAGGTGAATGTTAGTGAGGTTTTGGAGAGAATTTCAAGCAAGAAAATCTTGGAGATGAGAGATGAAGTGGTTAAGATGATTCCTAGGGTGATTTACGCAGACCCCAGATCGAGATTAGAGCGTTTTGAGGATGGTTTTGATGTTGCAGTTAAAGGGATTCTTGAGAGAGTGAAGAGGGTAAGGAAGGTGATTGAGGAAGGTAAAGATCCTAGCGTTGGTTTTTCTGATATCAACTTGAAAAAGTTTGAAATGGTTGGGTTTACATGAAACAGACATGGCAATTATGATATCAGTTCCTGATGTTTTGATATTATGATGCCTTTGGTTCAAGTTTTCTGGTGTTCTATTGCTTGTTTGTGAGAGATTCTTGGTGGTATCTTTCTCAATTTGTCTTTGATTCTTGTATGAACTTAATCTAAAAGTATTTTAACTGTTCTTCGATGAATATGTGGGTTCAACTTGCATCCCTACTAGATCACACCATTTTCTGATTGATTCCCAAGAATGTACCGAACTTTCTACAAATCCCAAGCTAAAACTCAATTGTCATAAACATTTCTCATGTTCGAGTACAGTACACACAAGACCATCGTCCCAGTGACAGTTGACAAATCATGGCATTTTGGTCAACTTTCAGCTGAATCAAAGATGGTTGTAACATTCTTTTTATTGAAAAACGATAACAGAACACACAGGCAGCAGACTCTGAAAACACAATGACAAGCCCATACCATGCCAAGCAGCTTAGATAGAGGCTTTCCATGAAGAGAAGGGTGGTGTCTCAGAGTCCTTCCATGTCGCCAGGGAGCTTGAATATCGATCGCCTTTGACTGCATCAACTGAAGCAAGGCCTTCGAGCTCGGCCAGTTCTTCAGGTGTGAGTTTAACGGATAAAGCTCCAATGTTCTGGTTGAGATTTTCAATCTTAGTCGTTCCGGGAATTGGACACACATCATTTCCTTGGTGGTGAACCCAGGCCAGAGCCAGCTGCGATGAGGTGCACCCTTTTCTTTCTGCTATTGCGCTAACCTTCTCAAATACAGTTTTATTGTGCTCGAGATTTTCGCCTTGGAACCGTGGCAAATGCTATACAGCAAAAAGAAACAATAATAATGACAATTGAAACAGAATCTCAGTAACTTGAGCTTGGAAGTTAACTAGAAGAGCATGTTCCTGACACTTAAGCTTCAGCGTTCGATGTAAGGTGAAAAGGGAACCAACAAAATAGAAAGACTTTAGAAATCAATATCTACCGAGAATTCAAGTGACAAACCATTAAAACTTGATGTAATAGTTTGATCATCTTTAAAATTATATGATCTGAACTTATATTGCATAAACGACTAAAATTCGTTCAAATAAAATGAAAGTCAATTTACTATTTAGATGCAAACCTTCCGGAAATCATTATTTTGGAGACCTTCAACAAGCTTGGGCCCAGATGAGAAGAAACCTCGTCCAAGAGGGCTGTATGCCACAATTCCAATGCCAAGTTCCCTTTGACAATTGAAAGAATAATATTGAGGTCAACAATCAATCGAACAAAGGTGGATACTGGAATTAATAAATCCTCACCTGCAAGTAGGAATGATCTCTTCTTCAACATCTCTTGACCACAAAGACCACTCAAGCTGCACAGCTGTTATTGGATGAACAGCATGTGCCCTTCTGATTGTGGAAGCTGAAGCCTCAGATAGACCTATGTATTTCAGTTTACCTTCTTCCACCAATTTCTTAAGCTCTCCAATCTTTCCATAGACAAAAGGGGGAAACGTCATCACGAGAAGTTGAAGACTGAAAAACTTTCTCAACTTGTAAAAATTGTTACACATTCAAACATAAAAGTAATGAGGTGTACACAAATTTATGCTCATTAGTGCAATTAACAGCTCAAGCCACCACTAGCCGATATTATCCTCTTTGGGCTTTCCCCTCCGAGGTTCCCCTCAAGTTTTAAAATGTGTATGCTAGGGAGAGGTTTCCACACCCTTGTAAGGAATGTTTTCCAACCAATGTGGGATCTCACACTTAAGTTGTTTAAAACTTATCCAACCAGAACTAACTAGAACAGCTTAGTTAGAGTACATCCCCTCAAATGAATAACCAGATGATGACGTGAGTTAGGACATTGATGTAAGAAATTCAGTTCCACATTGCGCTGTTCGGTGTATCAGCTGCTCGATGTGCAGTAGAGATGAATGTGAAAAGAACATCCTTCCTCACAGTTTGCTCGTAAATAAATGAAAATCAATTGGACGTGTTATCAAGAAGCAATGTCCGGATATTGTAATGATTCAAGAAATTAAATTGAAAACGTTGGAAAGGAAAACCCTAAGATCTCTTTGCACTATGGGTTGACATTGGTTGGGAAGAAAGAGAAGGCTTTTGAAAGATCAGAGGCTTTGTCCATTATCAATTAATGTTATCTCTGGAAATGGGAAGGAGTGTTTGATCTCCTTCAAATTCGAGACAGAAATTTAGGGCAAAATGTGGGTTTTCATTTCCAAATCAAGACATAGAAGTCAAAGTACTTTCACCTAACATTAGGTCCCAATCCCTACTGACAAATATGCCAAAACGCAGTATATAATAGAAAGCGAGCAAAATCAATTCAAATCCAGAGGAACTCGTTATACTCCACTCACACCAACACGATTCATCATACAAATCCAAACAACATAGCAGCAACAGAGTAGAAGGAAGAAGCAACAAACCGTGACTTCAATCGGAACCCTCTTATCAATCCGATGCTGGTAATAGAGATCGATGCAATCGACATCGAGGCGCTTCAAACTGGCCTCGCAAGCGGCTCTTACATAGGCCGGATCTCCGCGTATTTCCCTCTTGCCATCAGCAAAACTAATACCGAATTTGGTGGCCAATTCAACCTTATCTCTGACGCCGCCCTTGAGAGCCTTTCCAACGAGGATTTCGTTGGTGAATGGGCCATAGACGTCGGAAGTATCGAGGTGAGTGATGCCGCGTTCGACGGCATGGTGGATTAAAGCAATCATGTCGGAGTCAGGCTTGGGGGGGCCGTAGAAGGCGGACATGCCCATGCAGCCGAGCCCCTGTGCGGACACTTCGAGGCCTTGAGATCCGAGCTTGATTCTAGGAACTTGAGAAGCCATTTTTGTGCGGATGAATGAGGTCGCCGGAGGGAAGAGAAGTCGTCGGAGGTGAGGGAGCAGAGCATAAATGGCTGAGTTTGAGCCACACTTATAGCAGTGGGGGTTGGTGGTTGATGCTTCGATGGTGCAGTCGCGTTTTGCCTTTTCCTGCCGGCCATCAAATTTAAAATATCAAAGCCGACCCAAATAAGAAGCTTCTAATTTTAGGGAAATATTATAAAAAGAAATAAAATTACAAAATATATTTTTAAACTAAAAAAATAAATATTCATATTTTTTAAATAAGTTAAAATATTTATTATATGCATATAATTACATTCATGCCTTTTTTAATTATTAATCTTAAATATAAAAAAAATTACAATTAATGAAAGATTAAATCATAAAAATACTTATATTTCATATATTGTCTATATTTTTTTTAAAATAATTAATAAATTATTTAAAAAATATTTTAAACTTTTAAATATAACATTAGCCTCACCTATATAAAATTTTATTAAAAAATTTACGGATATTTATTTCTAAAAATTTATGGGTATTTTTGAAAGGTTGTTTCTAATGTATTTGTAACGGCATAAACCCACTGATAGCATATATCGTCTCTTTGGGCCTTCACTTACGGGTTTTCCCGCGAGATTTTTAAAACCCGTTTCCTAAAAATAAGTTTCCACACTTTTATAAAAAATGTTTCGTTCTCTTCTACAACTAATCTGGAATCTCACAGTCTACTCACTTCGAGACCCAACATCCTTGCTATATAATGAAGTTTATTATACGGCTCGTATAGTAGCTAAAAGTTTTCATTCCAAATGTACTAATTATAAAGAAACTTTTAGTCGGTTCGTTAAACCCATTAGTATTACGTGTTTAGCCCTATAAACACGTCTAATAAACCAAACCATACGCATATTTCTTACTCTAATAATACAATTCTCTAAATACTTTTACAAATCTTTGGTTTTCAAGTGTTTCCTTATCTTCTACTCTAAATATCACTACTTACCCGTCACTCGGTCGCCAAAGAAGACCAGCTAGTTGACTCGAATCGTAATTAAAAAACCGACCCAAAAAGTAAATTCATTTCAAGTCGTGCTCGGTCTTTTAAACAATAAAAATAATTTTTAAAAAAAAAATGGAAGATTTTGTCATGTTTTGTAGATGGGGCAAATAAAAACAGGGGGGAGAGAAAGCAGAGGAAAAGAAGCAACAATGGCGGATTGGGGGCCGGTGGTGGTAGCCGTGGTTCTGTTCATCCTGCTATCTCCAGGGCTGGTGGTTCAGGTCCATGGCGCTGAAAAGTTCATTGAGTTCGGAAATTTTGAAACCAGCGCCACCTCCATTTTTCTTCACTCCCTCATCTTCTTCGCCCTCTTCTGCCTCTTCACCCTCGTCCTCCACCTCCATATCTACATCTGATAGGCTTCCTTTTCCCTCTCTTTTCAGGTTTTGATTCTCATTTTCTGTCGTTACCCGTCTTTTCGATCTAAATTCGTGTGAATTCTCTTTTCGTTTCGTTTTAAAAATGACTTTATGTTGATGAAGATGTTGTCGTTTTAATGTATGTATAGTGGGTTTTCTCGCTTTTGCTCGAGGTGGGATTGTGTTTGTTTGCGTTATAATATCGTTTTTTTCTATGTTCTCGATCCTCTCGATACTTCGTTTTAGGGATGTATATGGGTTGGATTGAGATGGAGAAATTATTTCAGTTGGTTGGGTACTTGACCCGAACAACCCGTATTGAGCTGGGTTGGTTGGGTTGGTGACCCAAACAACTCAAATAGAGTTCACACTCCAACCTTCCCTGATTGAGTTGGGTTATCGTACTGTTTATTATTATTATTATTTTAAAAATTTAAATATAAAATATTTATAAGTTTGAGTGCATCCCTCACATTAGTTACAAATGTCAAATATTCTTAATATTCATAATAATTTTAAAACTAGGATAGGGTTGTAACTCTATTTTCGGGTTGACCCGACCAAAAAACTGCTAACCCGTGACCCGAATTTTTCAATTTTTCAATTTTCCAAAAATTTAACCTAACCCAACTCGAAAAAGATCTAACACAACCAAACGTTTATGGTTTGAGTTAGGTAGTCTGGATTAGTTACGTTATTAGGTCATATGAACGTTCTACCTTGGCTCCTCTCTCGTGCGCCGTCTCTTTCATTCCAATTTTTTAAAATTTATTTTAATTTAATTGTTCAATAATTGAGTGAAAGATAATAAAATTAGGTCAAAGGATAGACATAGACCAAGTTATTTATTTATTAAATTAATTATTTAAAGTATTGCAGGTGGGTGGATTTTTATGCTATTTAATTGGTATTTCTAGCAATAATTTAATGAAATTAATTGTTTTTTCTTTCAATAAATAAATGTGAAATTGAAAATTGATAATTTTAATATTAAAACAAATAATGTAAACCTAAAACTTATTATATTCTAAAAAACCAAAAAATTATTATTTTTGGTAATGTCTCATTCATTTAATTTAATTATATTAAAATTTTAGATATTTAATTTTTAAATTACATAAATGATGTAATGCAATTTGTCATTATTTATTTTAATTACATTGTGTTTTTATGGTCAAAATAATTTTATAAATCTTCTGTTGACAGTAAAAGGTGTTAAGTAAAGGGTGTTAATGTTACTTTTAAAATTTTATGAATATTTTTTAAATGTTGAATTCTTTAAAAATATTATAGATATTTTTGAAACATTCTCAAAAGTTTAAAGGTATTTTTGAAACAAAATACGAATACGATAAACAAAATTTTCAAGTTTAAATTTTAAAACCATAATCAACACAATTTTGTGTTCTGTCTTAATTGAATTTAGTGTTATTCGACTCGTCTAATGGCTAAGATGGGTCGTTCCAAAATGAATGGAGTTTTAGCAATTACTTCCATAACCAAAAATTACTATTACCTACAAATCTTATAAAGTAAATGTGTTACTATTATCTTAAAAACGACGAATATGATACCACGTTCGAATAAAAACAATTTTGGATGAGATGATTCAGAAAGGGTCAAAAGAATTGAAAATCGTTATCCACCTTCATTTCGGTGGCTCAATCATAGGAATTCCAAATTTAAACCGGAAAATTTCCTAGAATCCACGTGAATGACGATAAAGAAACTCATGTTGGTACGTGGGGATAGCCTTTACTCTTAGAAGCGAAAAATGAGTAGCATGACCATGTCGCAAAAGATGTAGGTATGTCATCGAGAAATGAGTACCGTGACCATGTCACAAAAGATATAGGTATGTCAGCAATGAATGAGTAACGTGACCGTGTCGTAAGGGGGACGTAGATATGTCAAAGGAGGTGCCAAATTTGAATTTTAAATCCTTTTCCAAATTCACTTTTTTGACTTTTTAGTTTGACTTTTTGGTTTATTATGCGGGACATTGACAGGCCAACTAATATCGAATTCTTTTGATTATTGAGCTCTTTAATTTGTAATTAGTACTCAACATAAAATATTAAAAATAAATGAGCAAATTACATAAAAGTATAAAATAACTGAACCACCTTCTATTCATTTTAATTAGAAACTTTCAATTTCATTAAATTACATCTTAAATTTAAATAAATATTATAATCATAATCTTAAATTTTAAAAACTGTTCGCAATTTTAAATTTTCATGTAAAATTTTAATTTATTGAAATAAAAGAGTTTATGAAAACTTTTACTTTATTTTATGTTGAATTAGTAAGGAATTATATTAAATATGAATAAAAAAAACAAAGAAGGGAATGAGTGACAACAAACCATTCGAAAGCCACCACGTGTCAAAGAGCAATTGGAGGACGTTCCACTAGGAAAACGATACGACTCTGCTGCCGGAGGAAGCGGAGAGGGGAGGGTGGAGAAGCAGAAAATAAAATGGGTAAAGAAAACCAGAGGATGGCGGAAGCGGCGGCGGAGGAGATGGAGCTCATCAGCCTTGCGATTCGAAGGTTGATGGAAGAGAACAACAACAGAACCGCCTCTCACCGGAGCTCCGGCGGCGACGATCTGCAATTCCTCTCCCGATTACTCTCTCAGGTTAGACAGTTCATCAATTCTACTCTCTCTCTCTCTCTCTCTGGTTTCTGGGATTAGATCAGTTTGTTTCAGAAGAACACAGAAACTGACATATATAATAAAACATCTTAATCGGCGTTCTTCACTACCATGAACAGGTGGAATCAACCAGAGAACAGGGGCGGCGCAAGCACTCCCAACAGGATGATAAAATAATTCAGAAAAACGTAACAGAGAAGGAGATAGTGAAAGAGATAAAAGAAGTGCAGAGGCAGAATTTCATAACTCACTGCCTTGTTTCCGCCATGGTTGTCCTCAACGTTGCTTGGCAAGTTTCTGAGGTGTCCTTTATTTTGAAGCTCAGAGATGGGTTGAGTAACCCATTCAAGAACCTGGCTAGAATTCTGAAAAGAAACACAACTTCAGCAATACAACATAAGATTGAAGCTACTGAATTGCCTGCCTGCCTTACCTCATGTGAACCTACCAGATTTTCACTTGAATGACCACAAAATCCAGTAGTAGCATCATCAAGATCCCAAGTTGTTTGTAATTTTTCAGGCATTATAACAATGTCTGTAATTTTTTATCATTCATATTTCAATTTTCATGCTGTAGAAGTTCAAAGTTTCGATTTTTACGACGGGTATAATAGCATATAGTAGTATGAGCAAATCACTTGAATTTGAAGAAAGCATCTATTTCATCAATACTCAATAACAATCAAGAAATTCGACTTTGCATAGGCACACATTGAAGCATAAGCACAATAAAATATAATCCAAGTTCCAATTTGAAATGTCCAAAAAACTGAAAGGTGATAAACAAACTGGTTGAATGACCTGACATCTCAGGCCTCCCAATACCACAGTTTACTCTCAACTTCAGGCATAGTTCAATCGGAATATGTCGTTCAGCACATAGAAGCTTCCCTGTGGAGTTGGTATCAAATGGAACATCTGAAAGCACGGAGTAAAGTAATTTAGAACTCACAACTGTACAGCCTATAGAACAAATCCTCAAGTAACCAAAAGTAAATTGATCCACAACAAGAAAGAAAATTGTCCACAAAGTAATTCAATCTTCAAATTTAGCAATGAGTTCACTCAATTCTTCCAAGAACATTTTAACATAATTGAATTTGATTCATAATAATACAAACAAGAAAATCGAAATGCCTATGCATCACATTTTCAATGGCTATTAACATTAGAAAACTATTTTGTATTTCACTACACACAATACATTTTCACTAATATGGTTATTCCAAGAATATAAAATATAACATCATATGTACCATCATTCCATATTTTGTTTTAACAATACAGTTGTGATTCATCATTCTAAAATAAATTCCATTCCATGTGGAATTTGAAAATGGATTCGAGTTAGAAAAAGTAAATGAAGAACATACAAAAACATTATTCTTGCATTCCCAGAAAATGATATATGATATATCTAAATGTACAAAATTCTCAATGAGATTACAGATAACGATCACAGATTATTACTTCACAGATATCATCACAATAAGCCAAGGAAATTGTAACAAGCATATACATTTGGGTTCAAACATAACAGCAGGATGAACTTTCTTAGTCACCTCAGAAGCCCCCGTAAATAAAACAGCAACCATGAACTTAAAACAAGTTAGCAGTTTAGCACTATTTTAGAGTTAAATAATCAAGCATCTTTTTCCTATTTTGCTCATTATGCTCATGCTTGTAAACCAGAAAGCTGGCCAATTGAACTTGTTCCGTGATATTTCTTTTCAGAAATAAGAACCCAATGGAAAAATATAAATAATCTCAGACATGCTGAAGCCGCCAAATACCAAATACATTCAAAATAAGAAAACAAGCATATCAGTATCTCAAGCTTGATCTACATTCTCACTATCCCTCTATAACAAATAGAATTCCGATGAAAACCCCTAGATCTACACGTACAAAGACAACGCAAATTAAACAAGGCCTAACGATATTTCAAGTGCTCGAACGCATAAATTAGAGAATCAAAAGACCATTTCAGTCAAAGCAGTCCAACTAAATAACACTGATCGATCGGCTAACTCCAAGAGAACACTAGATCCAACCAAGATCAATCCATAAATCCAACATCAGGCTAACAAACTGAAACAAATCAAGCAACATCTTCATTAAAAAAAAAAAAAAAAAAAAAAAAAAAAAAAAAAAAAAAAAAAAAAAAAA